CCCTTCACTTGGAGTCTCAGAGGGGCTTACAAACTCCTTTCCCTCCCCCTCCCCACAACAGACACCCTGTGAGATAGGTGGGGCTGAGAGAGCTCTAAGAAAACTGTCCTTGAGAGAACAGCTCTGACAGAACTATGGCTTGTCCAAGGTCATCCAGCAGCTGCAAGTGGAGGAGTGGGGAATCAAATGCAGTTCTCCCAGATTAGAGTCTGCACACTTAACCATTCCTTCTCAAAATTTAGGTCACAATCTAATGAGTTTCTATTGGCCTCTTAGGGTTGCCAGTCCCCAGTAGGGGACGGGGGATCCCCTAGTTTTGCAGGCTCCTGCCCACTGACGGAGGGGATTTGAGGGTGATTTTACCCTAGAGTATTGCCCAAAAACAAGAGCATTGCCCCAACATTCCTACATCACTTCCAGGGGACATAAGCACGGCATACGATTGTCACTTCCAGTGATGTCAGCACATTGGGGACAATGCTTCTGGCTCCTCGAGCATCCCCCTGCTGGCATCTTGAAGGGACCTGTCAACCCTATAGCCTCTACTCCAGTGCTCTTACTCTCCCTCCCACTCACACTAATAACTCCGCATATTGTGTTGGATGCAGCTTCTGAAGTTCCTCAAATTTAGGTTGCTTGTTCAACACAGTGTTCCTACTTCTGAAAGGAGTACATGAGATATACTATGTTTACAGAGATACTCTAATAGTAACATATGATGGAGCCACAAATATTCTTCTAGCACAGTCTGAACAAAATTAAAGGGATTTTCCTGAGGATCAGAGCTCCAGTTCTTCAAATACACATTTCGGTTTCTCCCCCTTCCTTTAAGAATCTAATCAGCACATCATGCTTTATCAATATATGAAATTCTCAACACAGACAAATCTGTGTATACTTAAACCCACATACTCGAGCTACAAACAGAAAAAGACAGATCTTTCTACAAACCTGAAAAATGCCCCAGGTTTACAAAAAAAGAAAAGAAAAGAAAGAAACCTAACTCCCCCCCCCCAATCATGGTAAGAGTCAAACCCCCCCCCAATAATAGAAGCAGCACCTGCAGCTTTACCAAATGAATGCCTTCAAGTGGATGTTGCTTGGCCTTCAAAGCCTTGGTTTCTATCAGTAAAAGGTGGAGGAGGCCCCTCTCCAAGGCTGTTTTGGCTTTTAAAGGAGGACTCCCTGGGGTTAGGCCTGGCAGCAATCACAGGGCGACTTGCTACCACATGACTTGCATGACTTCCCAAAGCCCAGCTGCTTGCTACAGTTCAACAACAGCCACCCCATGAAAGCCAGTGTGGTATAGTGGTTCAGACTAGGATCTGGGAGACCTGGGTTCAAATCACCACTCTGCCATTGAAGCTCCTGGAGTAACCTTAAGCCAGTTACACATTCTCAGCATAATTTATCTCACAAAGTTTTCATGAGGATAAAATGGGAGAGAGGAGACTGATGTAAGCAGCTCTGAGTCTCCATTGCAGAGAAAAGTGGGGTATAAATGTCGTAAAAGTAATAAATATAGTTGGGGGACAGATAAAACATAGGTGAGAGGTTGAGAAGGAAGTAGGGAATGATGAGGCTATGGGGGCTGCCACAAGGAGGGAAAGCAAAAATAATATGGGGATGTGAATACAGGGGGGGAAGGTTCCTGACCATGCAACTTGGCCTGGCCTAGGAGCTGGTGCTTTGCAACTTGGACTGACTTTTCCCAGGGGGCGGCTGACAAGACAGGAAATGTGGGAAAACTGAAGACTGGGGGGGGGGGAGAACAAACATAGGTTGGTTTGTGGCTCAGAAGGAGAGGAGGCAGGAAAAGGGGAGAGCCTATGAGAGCCAGTTTGGTGTAGTGGTTAAGTGCGCAGACTCTAATCTGGGAGAACCGTGTTTGATTCCCCACTCCTCCACTTGCACCTGGCTGGATGATCTTGGGAAAGCCATAGCTCTGGTACAGCTGTTCTTGAAAAAAGAGCAGTTTCTGTCAAGAGCTCTCTCAGCCCCACCTACCTCACAGGGTGTCTGTTGTGGGGAGGGGGAGGGAAAGGAGCTTGTAAGCTGCTCTGAGACACCTTTGGGTAGTGAAGGGTGGGGTATAAATCTAATCTCGTTCTTCTTCTTCTCTTCTATGGGTGCTTTCAGGGATGGGAAAGAAGAAACAGTGATGGAGGGGAAAATGAGATGCCCTCCACAAGTGCTTGTGGGTCTTCCATTTGTTATAATATATTGTTGAGGTATCACACTCAGTGATACAGTTCCAAATGATCACTATGGAAAGCCACATTAAAATAATTCACGCTATTCACCACAAGAAAAGGCTAACATTACAGCAATCTTCTAATTAAGGTGAGTGAATGCACTTGTACTTTTCAAAATTTCAAGAAAAAGTGTTATGTGCCATTTCATTAGATGCAGAAAGGAAGATGCACATTTTATTAACTATATTGTATAGACAGCTGTCTTGTTCATGCATGATGCTTACATATGCAATGTACTGAAAATGCATATGCTTACATATGCAACATACTAAAACTTACAAACCTATTTCCCTTCTGAGCTTCTGTTATAAACTCCTTGAGAGGCTAATCCTGAACAGAATCAGCGACAGAATAAATGAACATGACCCTATAGATCAAGCAGGATTTAGACCCCGTTGTAGTTGTGAAGACCAGGTTCTCGGTTTAACAACTAATTTGAGGCGGGGTATCAGAAGTATCTTTAGACATTAGCAATTTTAATTGATCTGACTGCCGCTTATGACACAGTCTGGAGAGAGTGTCTGCTGTACAAGTTTTTACAGGTTTTCCCCTGCAGAACATTACTTTGGCTCCTAAATAACATGTTGAGTGATAGAACCTTCCAAGTAATTACAGGTCAGTCAATCAGCAAGCAGAAGAAACTGAATAACAGTCTACCCCAGGGCTCAGTCCTCGCTCCAGTTCTTTTCAATCTTTTCAATATCCAAGATGATATCCAGGAAGTTTGCTTATGTTGATGACATGGTGATAGCAGTAAAACACAAATCAATTGAAAGGACTGAGGAAATACTGACTACTACCGTAAATGGCGGCTTATCCCAAGTCCAGGAAAAACAGAATGCTCGTTTTCATCTCAATAACAATCTTGCCAACCATGAACTGAATGTCTACCTTAATGGCACCTGACTTACACACAGCCATACACCTAAGTACCTTGGCATTACCCTGGATAGGACCTTAGGCTATAAACACCATGTAGCAACAAAAATACACATGTGAAACAACATTCTCCAAAAATTATGTGATACAACTTGGGTTGTGTCTGCTACAACACTTAAATGCTCAGCTTTGGGATTGGTGTATAGTACTGCGGAATATGGTGCTTCAGTGTGGCTCAACAGCCCCCATGTCCACAAACTTGATGTCCACTCAATACAACAATGAGAACCATCAGCAGCTGTATTAAACCCACTCCGACCTATTGGCTACCTATGTTGTGCCACATTGCTCCCCCACATCTCCGAAGACAAGATGCTCTTCTTTGTGAATATAGAAAGAACACTGAAAATTGAGTTGCCCATCCATACGAGCCTATCCAGACTGATTCTGACACCCAGCAATAAGATCTGCACAAATCCTGCAATCACAAAATTTCGATCTAGGGAATGAAAGGTTGTGAACCTGGATGCAATCAATTCCACCTGATATCCATAACCTAATAAACACTAATGAGAGGCCTGCAAGATTTGACTTGCCACATAAAGTATGGAAGATGGCTAACAGAATATGAACAGACTTTGGCAGTTGTGCAGACCTTCTGTTTAAAGCAAAATACCAGGACCTGAATGCAATTGTGGTGCAGTCCACCAACCTATTTTCTATCTGTCACAGGAATGTGAGCATTGTGATTTCCAGGGAGATGTGATGGAGCTCTTCAAACTCTCCCCAGCTGTGACTGAGAGGATTGAAAATTTAGAAGTTTGTATTTAGAGGGATTGCCCAATTGGTCTGTATACATGTTGTATCAACTTTGTTACATATTTTATATTATGACATGCTTCCTGTGTGTAACTCTGCCATACAATCAATAATAATATTGAAACTTAAACAAAGATATAAAGCAGGATTCAGATACCCTTCAACTTGCCAAGTACAGCACTTTGAAATTAGCATTTATCTTATTGAGGTGAGCAGCCATGTTGGTCAGAAGCAGAAGAACAAAGTTTGAGTCCAGTGGCACCTTTAAGACCGACGAAGTTTAATTCTAGGTATAAACTTTCATGTCCATGCACACTTCATCAGATACCCACGTACTCCCCATATCTTCTTCTGAAAAAAATAAAAGGGATTTTCCTTGATGAAGCGTGCATGTACACAAAAACTTATACCCAGAATTAAATTTGGTTGGACTTAAAAGTGTCACTGGACTCAATCATTTATCTTATGTTTGCCCAGTATGTGTGTGCATGTGATAATGTTACTAATGCTTTTAGAGTAATTTGTTTATGTATTGGCAATCCAAAACTGCCACCAGGACATCATACACTCTCTTACTTCAAATAATTTCCCAGGAGTATAGGATATGAATAAGAGAAATGCATCATTCAGAGGTTCATTGTCTGCATAAGTTGTCGAAATTTGCATTTGGGTCAAAAAGCTTCCGTACAATCATACTAAAGTACCTTGCTTCCTCAGTTTTGTATTCTATTTAAGGAATTCTAACACTTTGCTCAACAAGACAGCTTACCATTTCAGCTTGAAAATATATCTGACTTAAAGCTCCATGGACTATCCCATATGTAAGACATCGACCCAACCAGCATAACCTTCCCAGTTCACTACAATGTTGCAGAAACATCCATCTTGTCATGGAACCATTCCTTAATACTGTGGCAAACAGGGAATCCTTTGTGTTTAGTAGTACTCTGTACTGATCTCTAGATATTCCATTAAGGTCGTTATCTTTCCTTTCTGATAACATCCCATTACCACATATAAAGTTGAAGATCTATATAGGAATCTTACCGTCTTGATGGTGCCTTTTGGCAAAAGACATCTCTCCTTCATGCTGTGCATAGAATTTCTGTATGCACCTTCTCACCACATCTTCCCAGTTGGGTTTCATAGCTGCTCGAATGGTACTAGTGTCTAGTGAAGTTATTTTGCCTGTGTGTACACAAATGTTGTTACAATAGATACCTCCCACAATTTCAGTGTTCTTATCTTCAATTTGTCTTCTGTTTTCATAATACCTTGCAAATCTTGGCGAGTACTAAATGTCTCCGATGAGGGCAGAAGTGGCCTTTCCTTCAATGGAACTCTTCTTGCCACACATATTAAACAAGACTGCAAATCTGAAATAGAACACAGACATAGGAAAACAGAGGAAAGGAAAAGATTTTACAATGCAGAATTACACCAAATAGTTTATTTTAACAGAACTCACGTCCTTTTGTTAAATTATGAATACTGTTCTTTGTCAGTCTCTGAGGAATATACTGTAATTATTTATTTTGGTTGTTAGTCTGCTCAGTCCAAAAGGCCCTGACAAGTTACAATAAGTTTTAAACATAAGACAAAACCCAAATTAACACTGGATAGATAAAACCTAAAAGTGTTAGAAGTCTTACCCATTCTCTTTTCAACCCACCTGTTCCTGCTCTTATGTTACATACACAGAGGTCATTTCGGGTGAGGTGCAGGGGGGCGGGGCATATGATGAAGCCCCGCCCCCTGCTTCCGGCCGCCCTGCTTTCAGCCCTCATTCAGCCAGGAGGAGGCAGGAGAAGAGGGAGGGTAAGTTGCTTCCTCCCCGCCTCTCCCCACCCCTGCCTGCCTGGGGCCAGGGAGGGCCTTGGCGGGGCTTCCTCGCACTCCCACTGGCCTTGCAGGTCCACCACCGGGCCCCTGATGTCAGGGGGTGTGGCATATGCTAATGAGTTATGCTAATGAGTTCCCCTAGCTCTTTTTCTACGAAATGACCCCTGTACATACACACACAAGGCTTCTATCCAAATGTTATCCTGAATGCATACCATCCTCAGACATATAGGGCACAATGATCCCCAAATCAGCTCTTCAGACCCCAACATTCCACGATCTCCAAAAATAACCTTCTCCAGTTCTCCCCTTACTTGCACCTTCACTTTCACATGTCTCAAAATAATTCCCACTCAGCCCTTTCTGCTTCAGAGTAGTAATAAAACTCACACAAATCTTTTGCACTTTCCTGAATCAGACATGTATGGAGACTGCATCCATCCCCAACCAAACCTCTTTCCAGCTGCTGGCATTTCAACATTGCGAGAAGATGGATGGCAGTTTCTGTTCCACAGTAGCTGTTTTCAGGTTTGAGATACCAAGAACAACATCCCCTGGTTCATGTTCTACACTCTTAAGGTGGGGGTGGGGCAAGGCAAGGCCTTGGATTTTCTAACTCTCATCAAATATCTATATAAGTTTCACCAATCACACAGAAGTGTCAAAACATCTACCTCCCTAATGTCAATAATTCCAGACCAGGTAAACATAAGAGGAAGCAGTCAATAAGTATCCTTCTAGTGGCCCCAAATGATGCTTTAGAGGTCAGTTTTTGACAGCTGCCTTCAGATAAAGGTAGTTGTGTTGTTGTCCCAACATTTCTGGTTTGGATAGGGTTGCCAGGTTTTACCTGGCTGCTGGCAGGGTGTGTGTGTGTCCAGTCTTGTTCTGGAAGTCTTCGTGCGTGCGCCATGATGATGTCACTTGGAGGATACATCATCATGCTGGTCACATCGGGCAGACGCTTTAGCATTTGGGCAAAAAACTCCATGGTCACTATAGAGTTTTCACACAAATGCTAGAGCATCCCCCACGTGACATGCCCAGCATGACGATGTCACCCCCAGGTGACATTACTGTGCTGGACACATCATTCGGGATGGGGCTCTTCAAGGGCGGTGCTCCCCCCACTGGCCGGCAGCAGACTGGGGCCCCTGAAATTGGGGGAAACCCTGCCCCCATCAGGGGATGGCAACCCTAGGTGTGGAAAAGGATGTGTATGTGTGTGTGGAAGCATAAATCCTTCTTCCCTTGCACTGCAGTCCCTATCTGTCAGGGCCCCATGTATCTGCTTTTAAAGGGGGGAAAATCCCTAATACTGGGAGCTTAATTCAAGGGACTCTCATTATCAGGTCTGGTTTGACCCCCAAATAGACATTTGGACCTACTCAGGAGTTTGGCCTCTTTCGAAGAAGAAGGGGAGGAGGAGGAGGAGGAGATTGGATTTATCCCCCGCCCTTCACTACCCAAAGGAGTCTCAGAGTGGCTTACAAACTCCTTTCCCCTCCCCTCCCCACAACAGACACCCTGTGAGGTAGGTGGGGCTGAGAGAGCTCTGACAGAAACTGCTCTTTTCCAAGAACAGCTGTGCCAGAACTATGGCTTGCCCAAGGTCATCCAGCAGGTGCAAGAGGGGAAGTGGGGAATCAAACCCAGTTCTCCCAGATTAGAGTCCGCACACTTAACCACTACACTAAACTGGAATACTGTTTGTTTAAGCATACAACTGGAATATTGCAGTTTAAGCATTTTACTCAAAACATACTCCATGTGTGAACATAGTCATAACCATGGAACACTATAGTAGTTCAAATATATTTCATATTTCAGGGTAAGCCAAAAAAGAACAATAAGCAATTTAGTAGACAGAAAGCCATAATTTTTGAAAGCTACGAGGAAAATGGGGGTTTGCCAGAGAAAAGTAACTGAGAGAATTCTGCTTGCATTTTCATTGTTGCAGGCTCAATAGGATCTTTAATTTGCATGTTAATTGCTAAGTACACTTGTTTTGGTGCAAGTCTCAATACAACAAGCAGGGCTTATTTCCATGTGGGTATGTTTAAGGCCATATCAATGTGCTTTGGATGCAGTTATTTCCAATATACAATTATGATAAGCACAAGCACATTTCTGCAAACACATCTGCACATACTAGATGCCAATAAATGTTTACCTAGTTTAGTAAAGGAACAAGGAAGTTCAGCTATTCTGCCTTCTAATGAGACATTTCACAGAGGACAGATCAAATACTCAGATAATCTGACATCAGCATAAACAGTAAGTGCTAGTTCCACTGGCAAGGGAGCCAATAAATGCTATTTCCACTGGGGAGCTCCATTAATTTACATGACATGAATCTCAGAGAAATTCTGTTTAATTTAGAAAGGCCAAAATACATAAAATGCTCTGGTTACCTTCACCATCTTCCTTGATGGACTTTGGTTGAGAAACAGCAAAGCACTGCATAGTTTCATATTTTTGATGTGCTTCCTGGTTATCATGGCCTTCTTCTTCAGACTCGGTTAAAGGTTTTACCAGCATCCGACAATTAAAGGTATGGCTGTTGCGCCTAGGAGCTTCACTAGACCACGGTCCCCCATTCACTGAATAAAGCGAAAATGACAAACAATAGTAAGATGCTGGGCAATCTTCTGCATGGTAATTTTAAAGTATTAAAGGGCAATCTATATCTTGAGTGGGAGGAGAAAATCCTGCACCGTATCCTAATTATAGTCAATTTCAGTGTAAGTGAACAAAGCCGCTGACATAAATGTACTTCAAACTATGATACTGCCACACAGCTTCCAATTCCTGACTACCAAACAAATATCATGCCGTCTGTCACAAGTGTCATGTATGCACTTTTTAAATACACTGAGATCACCTCACCATAGGAAAGAAAGTGATTATATGACGCAATCTTCAGGAAGATCAAAATAATTCTCAGCTACACTGTTTTCTTTAGATCAAGCTTTTTAAAGAGAGGCTGAGTAATATCCTTATGCAAAAAAACTACATGCAAACAGGGAAACAATGAAGTAGTTTCTTAGGGCATACGGCATCTTTATGAGCATTTCTACAAATTATGTAAGTATAACCTACTAATGGTTCTGAAGAACTGTCAATGGTTATAGAGAAAGTGAAATGCATTCACTGCAGTTTGAAAGAGCTATAGGTTAGATTTGTACAAAAAAATAAAAGGACAAAGAATTAAAAACTTGAAATTAACTTCTGATAGCCATATATTATCCTATGGCCAGTGTGGGGCAGTGGTTAGAGTGCTGGGATAGAACCTGGGAGGCCTTGAAGCTCACTGGGTGACCAATGACTCTCTCTGATCCATTTCAGAGGGTTGTTACGAAGATAAAATAGGAGAAAATAGAATCATGAGGTCCTTGGAGTAAAGACAAAATGAAAATGTGCAAGACACAATGTATCATCCAGCACAATGAAAAGTTCTTCAGAACTCAAACAACTACACATTGTGTTGTGTTACTTTAGTTGGTGTTAAGAAAGAATGTTACAGGATTTTTGTTTTTGGATTTTGATATGGACCAATGCAGCTACCAAATATCTTTCAGCTTCAAGGGGGGGGGGGGACACACAAAATTAGAAGTAATGCTATCTATGCTTACAATGAAACACCCTGATAAGCTGTCAGTTACTGTATGAACCTAAGCACAAAATTCCAAGATAGACACAGGAAATGAACAAGTTGTTTGAGAAACTGTTTTAGAGGTAACAGCACAGGTAAGACCAGCACTCATAACATATAGATTAAGTGACATTAAATGAAAGCAATTACAGAGCCAATTAGGAAAGAAAATCCAACAAAAATACCATCACAATGAATATATTTAGAACGCTGTACCTAAGGATTTTGGCAGCAGGTTTCTGACAAACTCATTATGGTCCCCTACATGCAGGATGCTATACACACTCGTGTTCATCAGTTCTTCTTGGTTGTAACGTAAGAACTGTGTCACATTCTCTGACACAAACACCACATTACCTTCCAAGTTCACTACAAAGAAGAACCCATCAAGGGCCTGAAATATTAAAAAAATACACACATTTTAAAATTCTGAATTATTGCAGAGAAAACAGACTTTAACATCATGTTAAACCTATGTATCATTCTATCTTTCATTTCTCTGCTCACTGAGATGTGAACAAGTGAGTGGAGTAAAGAAAGCAATTTAACCTCATCAGAATATTTTTTTAATCATGAAGTTTTCATACAAAAGAGCAGTTCAGTTGCTCAGCAATACTTGCTATTCTGATGAAAGTACGACTGAGCATAAATGTCTAGAAACAACTCAGAACCCCTGGTTTACTTTTATATGATACGGAAGAGAGCACAAAAATGAACTTAATTCAAACTATATCTGTTAGATACAAGTTTCATACTGACTCAAAGTCTGGGGATTAAACACAAAAAAGGAAAGAGAGAATATACCATCTGAACACCTTGTGGATGAACTGAATGATAATCTAGTCCTTGTCAACACAGTTTGAAGAATCAGGGACCAAAAATATCTGAAAGTGTGTCTGACCTAAAGTATATTCAGGTCCAATAGGGATCGGAACTGGGCACTGTCTGTAGGATCACATGTTTGTCTCAGTCTCTGTCCCTTATACAAAATCCTATGCCACCTGTTGCTTTCATATGGCTGTCACCAGTACAGGTTACAATGAACAGTACAGGTTACATTGCTAAATTCTTATTAAAACAGAGTTCATATTAAAATCCTACAGAAAAGCAACAAATTTAAAACAGCCACACAGTCCATTGCACTAAATTCTGATTCAATCTGGCCTGATTCCAGTCTATCTGGTATTAGGGATGATCATGTGTAATTAAAACAGAATTGAAAAATTGAATTGAAACTTAAGAGGGCTTTCCCCATATCTTCATTTGCACTCCTTCACTGACATCTTTGACTCTACACATAGCATATGCACACTTTCTCTCTTATACTTCATGAAATGTACATTAGAGTCATTCGAGTAAAAGCCGTCAACATTATAATTATGTACATCTTAACTCCTCTTGCTTGAGGGCTCTCTTTTCCTGAGGTCATTCATTACTTATCAGCTGTTCTCCCATGTATCAAAATAGGGAAGAAACTACGCAATGCAACTTTTCTTGCTACAGAAAAGTCACATGAACGGATAAAGAAGCGAAAACTAATAGATCATGCACACAAAGTTTTATTATTTGTGTTTCAGAGACACTACTCTTCTGAAGTATTCTCTCAATTCAACAGGTTCAATACCCAGCTCTGTGCACATCCTTATAAATAAACAAGATACTGTTTGACAATCATGGACTACAAGCATGGATGGCTTCAAAAGGGAATTAGATAAGCATATGGAGCAGAGGCCCATCAGTGGCTATTAGCCACAAGGTATAGATAGGGACTCTGGGGCAAGTGATGCTCTGTCTTCTTGGTGCTTGGGGGGTCAACAGTGGGAGGGCTTCTAAATGTCCTGGCCCCACTGGTGGACCTCCTGATGGCACCTGGTATTTTTGGCCACTGTGTGACAGAGTGTTGGACTGGATGGGCCTTTGGCCTGATCCAACATTGGCGTCTCTTATGTTCTTATGTTATGTAATTCAAATTTGCATTGCTGCTCCATCAAATTCTATCTCGGTAGTATAATTAACCATATATACAGAAGATCTTCAGCACTTCACCTCCAGCATCATTGGTCCAAGGGCATCCTTGTCAATGACACTCTGGCCTGTAGATGACACATCAGCCTTCTGCACTTCATCTTCATTGGCTGCTGCTGCCTTTTCTGTACAGAAACACAAGGAAAATACACCACACTAAGAATTAAAGAACACAGCAGAGAACTTTTAGATTATGCTTGCGACTAATGTACAGCAAGAGAGATGGAACCAGCCCCTATGGTCAGAGCTGTACAGACATAATGCCAGGCAGGCAGTTGTGCTGGTCTGCAGTAGAAGAGTTGGATTCGAGTCCGGTAGCACACCTTAAATGGCAGCACCGAAGTACAAGCTTTCAAGAGTCAAAGCTCTCTTCATCATCGTATCTGATGAAGCGAGCTTTGATTCTCAAACGCTTAAACCCTGGAAATCTTGTTGGTCTTTAAAGTGTTACTGGACTTAAATACAGACGTATTCCCAGTTCATTAACCAAGGTAAGAGAAAATAAGTAGGCTGCATGAAATTCCATGCTCCATCTCTCCCCATTATTTTTTGAGCACAAATCCCTTACACAAGCCTAGGTTTCGTCTGCACTAGAATTTGAAGCCCAGTTTTAAAGCTGGCACAGATTTTTAGCCTTCCACGGTTCAATTCTGAGATTTTAGGGTTTTTAAAAGACAGCATAACTAGTGGATATTCAACAAAAATACAGAACATTCATAAAGAAGTGGCTTACAAGAATGATTTTTTAAAGTATGTAAATTGTGGAAACATTTGTACGTTTTTTCCATGTATTAATGACTTCTCATGGATTCCTCATTCTTGGAAATATATTTCCTGGATCAGTACACTTTGAGTGAAAGGAAATAAGGAAAGGAAATAAGCTGGAAATCTGAGTTACAGGCTTAGACATATATACACACCAAAAGATACGGTCAAAAGCAGAACAATATTCCTGATTTATAAATAAAGTGTGTGTCTGTATTTATCTCAGAACTGAATACTTGCCACACATAAAGGTACAAGCAAACCCTGTGATATAAACACTATTAAGAAGATTTATATAACTTTTTAGACTTTATAAAATTGCAAAAAGTTTTTTCAGCATTCTCAATTATACAGTATTGAAAAAAAAAAGGCCAACCTAGTCCAACATTATGAGTACCAATGACACAATGGGAAGGGGGGGGATATAAATGCTTTAATAAATAATGGATAAAATAAAATGCTTACTACCCAACAACATGAATTTAGAAGGAAATATTCCTAATGCAAACAACTATTATGGGATAGTAGACAGCTGTGCTCTAATATAGTACCTTGGGTTGTACAGACTGTGCTTATGTCCACTATTGTTCTTTTCTACCATGATGGGACAGGCAAAGGATCAACATGGGTTGAAGATGACAGGTTTGTGAACCACAGAATGAAGAACCCTTATAGAAAGTTCTTACACAGTTTCACTTCAGAAGTCTTAGATTTCAAACTGAATGTTAGCATGTGTACACTGAGATTATAAAAGGCTTCTTTATTGCCATTTTGATAACAGCTAAATAAAGACATTTAAAAATAGGTTCTTTTCTATGAAAAGCAAACTACTGTTGTTTAAAATAAATGTGAGATCCCACATGCCATTTTAGGAATAACTGACAAATCAAAGCTTATTTAAGACTGTTAGTTGCATCAACAATTTACACTTCCTACATCTGCGGACAACCAGAAATCCCACACTGTTGATAATTACTGAAATCTAGCATACTCACACTTCTATAACATGCAGCTGCTTAGGAAATGTAAAGCATCAGTTATGAAACTAAAAGTGTATTGAGTAATTACCATGACCTTTAACAGTTTCCATCAACTAGGCCATGTTCGTGATAACAAAAGAGAGCTGAATGTACAACTCAAAATCTTCCCACTTTACTACAAAACAAATTTAAAGTTAAGTTACTCTGTGTGGGGCACCCATCTTTAAATCTAAAACAACTAGATGCCCTGCAAGTCTCCCCCACCCCCAGTAAGATTCAGTAACTCTTGTTCTTTTTGAGAAGGAAGAAGATATGGAGTCCCATATTAAGAGGTATGTGCCTATAGGCACCCTCTTCATACAGGAGATTATCTACATAAAGGGGGATCCTGTTGTTTCATTCCAACTCTGCAAAGGTGAATACTTTGCATGCATGTATGAACAAAGACAGAATTCGTGGGCAGAAGAATTTATAGTAGCTTTTCCTCTGTAGAAGGCAGAGCCTAAAGATATAACAAACTCTGGAAACATAATATAACAGAGGGAACCTGACACATTCCAGGGGTTTGACATAGTTTTCAACATTAGATATCAATAATCTTTATAGCACATTTCAGTACACAAAATTCTTTATAGAGCTTTAAGTTTTTGCCCATTTTCCCAGTAATGAGAAAATACTTATGACTGAGTATACTTATCAGAAGCAGTCAGAATATTTGAAGTTTTGTACGGAATCTCTCAAATGAAATTCTGTCAAACTGTCATAATATCACTAGTTTTGTCCAGAATTCCCCAGTCTAAGAAGTGGTCATGAAACAGACATGTTTTCTGCTTATTTCTTCACTGTTTACCAAAATACTTTAATCTGGTTTCCTGTGCTTCCTAGTCATATACAAGAGCAACTCATGGCAATTTGTGAAAAACAGTATAGGAAACCATTTTATCATTACCTTTATATTCACACTTATTTATGTATATTTATTATTTGTATCATGTTTTTCTCCCCAGTATACACCCAAAACAGCTTGCAATACAAAAAAGAAAATGCAACAGAGATAAATAAAAGAGGGAAGAGAAGGCTTCTAAGTACAGAGCATCTCTCTCTCTCTCTCTCCTGATCTTCCTGCCAGCTTAAGGACATACCCAGGTCTTAAATAACTGTGAACTTAAATAACTGTGAACCAGGAGGATAATTCTGTTCATGGGGAGGCTTCACCATGAGGTCCATGGAGCAGAGGTCCTTCAGTGGCTATTAGCCACAAGGTATAGATAGGAACTCTCAGTCTGGGGCAAGTGATGCACTGTGGGGGGGGGGGACAGTGGGAGGGCTTCTAGTGTCCTGGCCCCACTGCTGGACCTCCTGATGGCACCTGGTATTTTTGGCCACTGTGTGACAGAGTGTTGGACTGGATGGGCCATTGATCTGATCCAACATTGGCTTCTCTTATGTTCTCTTATCACCATAGCACTGGCTTCTGCTAGAACTAAAAGTAATCAGGTACAAAACTTCAACTTGCAGCAGAACTAGTGCTTCCACGGTAAAGGGAAGAAAAAGTCAACAGGTACATCCAGGTTACACTGCTTTAAGCCACAAAAATAAATCGGAAATTATGATCTGAGCACATCCTTACTGCTAATCTTTTGTCAACAGGCACATCTTAAAAACATACTAAAAGCAAAGAATTTGAAACGCAACTCTGTTATTTAACCCCACTGATTTTAAACCATTTGTTCAGCTACCAATATGGATCACATCCTTTGTAATGTGTTATCAGAGAAAATGCTACACTAAGGTTCGTTTTCTCAGCTTTTATTTTAAAGTATAGTGTCTGTATACATCTGGAAGTGGAAGCTTTGTGGCATCTCAGGGATTAACAATTTTATTACGGTTTAAGATTTATGCGTAACAGCCATGCAGCCAAAGTGTATGCCACAATAAATTTCTTCATCTTCAAGATGGTACAGGACTCCTCCCCACCCGCACATACTGGCACCACATATTAAAGATGTTTAACAAGGTTACCAAGGCTCTCCCATTCTGAAATTTGCACACAAGTTTTCCCTAACAGAAGTATCAGCCCTTTTCTACAGAAGAACCCTATGTAGAAGGTATTCTGTTAAATTATCAGCAGCAGTAATACTGAAATTAATTAATTTATATTTATATTCCGCTCTCCCTGTGAATGGGCTCAGAGCGGATCACATCATGTGGATGGAAACATACATTAATAAATATGTGACAATATTAAAACAATTAAATAATACAATTTAAAGACAACTAACAGTGTGTAACCACAAACACAATTTCAGCTAGAGTGATTCTATATTACTAGAAGGTGACCCAACATTTCATGATTTAAACTTTCAGAGATCATTAAGCATTCAACTTTTTGAAGATCATTAAAATATGCAAATTGATAGTTATTTTATATTTTCTTCATGCTATATTTGTCTAGTATTGTTTATAAAACTTATATGCTATGTCTCCAGAGAGCTGTTTGATACAGCAAATCATGCCAATTTGGTTAAAAAATCAACACAGAGACATAGAAACATGTTTGTAGCACATAGCGCCAGTGTAGTCATCTCAAAAGCATCCGTCTTAGCCTGCAAAAATATAGCAGGTTTAAAAAGGCTATTTGCAGACTCTGCTGGTCTTCATTCTGGGAAAGTCTATTAAGACCACACATATATCATCTATGCTTTCACTATCCAGAAGGGGATACACTAGCTGACTATCAAGATTTCAGCAAGCTTTCCTTCTTTCTAACCACCCCTGTTTCATCTCCATATTGATTAGTATATTGTAGTCAAGCTGGGTATTAGCTTTATCACCATTTCCTTGTACAAATGTTGAATGCCCCATAATTTTTATGTACAAATGTTGAATGCATCATAATTTTTATGTGAGAAAAGACCTGGATTTTTGAAGCAATTCTTTAGAGGAGCTATGCATTTTTGTAATTGTGCACTTTTAGCCAGATCCTCTTGCCTTTGACATCAAACCTATAATAGCTAGATTTTACTCCAGTAGTACCCTAGAGACCAATAAGATTGTTTAGTCTCTAAGGTGCTACTGAACTTGAATCTAGCTCTTCTATTGCAGATCAAAATGACTCCCCTCCTGAAACAAAACTAGATTTTTTCTTTTATTTTTTTCACATGAATTAATGCGCTGCTTTTCTAATCCAATCAAAATGTATTGTTAAACTAACAAGATATGTGAGAATTAAACATAAGTAAAACAAGGAGTCAAAACTACTTGTACATACAGGGAGACAAGAAAGGAAAATATTAACTCATATGTGTTTGCAATTTATTTTAACAAACTCCTTTCTATTTTCTGAGAAGTCATATGGCATATTTCTAAGGTTGCCAGCC